TAGGTACCCTCAGCAGTTCCACATCGAAAACTTCCCCCGTCCACTCCTCCCTAACCACATACGTGACCCACCTGACCAGGTGGACCGCCGCCTCCTCGCTGCCGCCGCCGGGAACTTTCACCGGCGACTTTCCGCTGAGTAGCTCGAGCAATACAACTCCGAAGCTGTACACGTCGGACGCCTGCGATGGTGGTGCCGTCCTTTTGGTGGGGTCTGCCACTTCTGGGGCACGGTACCCTGCGGTCGGCTTCGCCGGAGGTGCGCGCGGACTCACGAGTGTTGTTAGGCCGAGGTCGGAGATGCAGCCGTAGTGTTGGGAGTTGAGGAAAATGTTGGAGGCCTTTATGTTTCCGTGGACGAGTTTGCCCCCGGTTTGCGAGTGGATGTGTTCGATGCCCCTCGCCGCGCCGATTGCTATTCTTAGCCGTGTTTCCCAATCTAGCGGGACCCGCTTCTCGCCTCTCTTGGCTGCGAAAAAAAAAAAGCACGACGATGGTTTCCGTTTAAAATTAACTGTCGTTTAAGATTCCGTCACGAACATTAATAAAAAAAGAATTGAAATAGAGGAAGTACCGTGTAATAGTGTGGAAACGCTTCCTTGATTGTAGTAATCGTAAACCATGAGCTTTTCGTCTTTTGAATAGTAGTAAGCTCTTAATGGGGCCACGTTTTCATGCCGTATATTTCCGGCCAACTCCATTTGTTGCTCGAACTCCTTTCTCCCGACCACAACTTCCTTCAATCTCTTCACTGCAACGATCGTTGCATCTTCCAACGCCGCCTTATACGTAGTGCCGAAAGTGCCCTTACCGAGCACCTCGGCCGAAGCCCTCAACAAATCCTCGAGATCGAATGCAAGATTACATTCCTGCCCCTCGAAAAACGCCAGCTTCGTATTCTTCCCCTCCATATGGTCCGAAACCATCTTCTTCGTAAATTTCTCTTTCTTCTCGACATTGGTCGACACATCGTCGTCTTCGTTTTTCCGGTTAGTGACGATCAAAAGAAGCGCGATCGAGACGAACGCCACCACGCTGCTTCCAATAACAATCCCGAGAATTGCGGATTCGCTGAATTTCGACCGACGCTTCACCGGAGTCGCTGCCGGAGGAGGGGAAGAATCCTCCGTCGAAATATCGTTGCCGGAGAAAGACGAGCGAGGGAATCGGCGAAGCGACCGAGGCACGTTTCCGGTGAGTCTATTGTTGGAGAGATCCAAGAACCGCAAACTAGGGATATCGATATCGGGGATATCGCCGGAGAGCGAGTTGTTAGCAAGATTCAAAATAGTCAACCGGGTCAAATTCGATATCGAAGACGGAATGCTACCGTTGAAACCGTTGCTCGAGAGATCCAACACTGTAAGATTTCTCCAAACAGGAAAATCCAACGGCAACGGCCCCTGAAAACGGTTGTGCTGAAGATAAAGGCCCGTCAAATTCTCGAGCTTCACAAGATCGGAAGGGAAAGGGCCCGTAAGGGCGTTGGATCTGAGGCTGAGGATTTGAAGAGCGGATAATCGGGTGAGGATATTCGAAGGGAGGACGCCTTTCAGTCCAACCCCGGGTAACCGAATCGCCACCACTCTTGAATTATCGCGATCGCAGGTGATCCCGGTCCAGTTGTTGCATACCGAAGACGTTTCGTTCCAATTCAGCTTCCGAGATAGGTTGATGTCAGCGACAAAATCGAGCAAGGCCTGTTTGTCTTCGACGGGTTCGGCTGTTGATGGCGATAAGCAGAGAGTAGCACAAAACACTAAAATTGATGAAAATATAATCTTGATCCCCATTTCTTCTTCTTCTTCTTGTTAGTATTATTATTACCACTGTACCAATCTGTGTAGGAGTTGTCAAGAAACAAGAATCAAGCCAAGAAAATGGAGAATAAATTCACAGTCAATGCCACAACTACTTTGCTAGCCGTTATTTTTTTTTTTTAATATTTTTAAATATTTCCAAACAAACGTTAGGTCAACCAACCAAAAGCCATAGTTATCTCTGAATTAGCCGTTTCGCTACACAGAACAGTACCCAAAAGAAATTATGGGTTTTTTTTTTTGGTAATTAAATTAAATCTCAAGAAATTGGGATGGTGTAATAGAAGAATTTTACAGCAGCAGGTAGGTACATATATAAATGAATGCATCCCATAAAAAAGCAGAGGTGTAAGAAAAACAGTTATGACAACTTACCTCAGACGAACACAGCTGCACCCAACAATTCAGATGAGAATAATTAAGGAGAAGAGATACAAGAACACAAAAAGAAACCCAAACAGGGTTTGGTGGCGATGAAGAGAGAGAGAGAGAGATGGATTTAATTCTTTGGGCATAAATGATTGAGGGGTGGGGGCGTGGTATTAAATTTGTTGATAGTGTGTGGTGAAAGCAACGCAGAAGAATAATGGCGCGGGATATAATTGGCGCGGGAAATGTGGGAGGTGCACGTGGAACCACCGTGGTTAGCGCGCAGAGAGAAGAAGAAGAAGAAGAAGAAGAAGAAGAGTGGAGGAATTATTAATGGTGGGAGAAGTCACGTAATTGGCACTTCTCACTGCGCACCACTGTCACTGATTCATCACCGTAAGATTGTGGAATTACAGGGTGTTTTTTTTTTTTTTTTTAACAATTTGACTTAGGTGGTGTTTGCAAATGCTTTTTGAAAGTGATTATGCGGTTTTTTTTGCTCATAATCTGTTTTTAGGTGTTTGCAAAATCAATTTTTGCTTTTGTTTCTCTTAAAATAATCTGCTTTAAGCTATTTTTTGCAAGTAATTATTCAAAAATAAAAGTTAGTGATTGTGAGTTAAGTCAGTTTTAAGTGCTTATTTCTAAAAGTTGGTGGTGTTTGCAAATATTCCGGAAAATGAACTTAAATAGAAAAAGTAGGGTTATGAGTGCTTTTGAAAAAATAGCTTAAAACAGATTATATTAAAAGAAGCAAAAAGAAAAGTTAATTTTGCAAACAGCTGAAAACAGATTATGAGCAAAAAAAAGCTCATAATCACTTTCAAAAAGCGTTTGCAAACACCACCTTAATCCTCTATAAATTAATACGGTTGGGACTAGGGAAATTTTATTAATTTAGCGAATTATTAAATTATCGAGTTAATAATTAATTAACACGTTCTCACCGAGTCGGGACCGAAAGAAACTATTATTTAAACGAGGTTATTAATTTATCGATGTTCTACTGTAGATTTTTAATAAGGATATCTGAGTATTTTTAAAATATTTTTAAAAAGAAAAGTATATTTATCACAGCTTTTTTATTTATTTAAGATATTGGTGGTGTTTGCAAGAACTTTTTTAAAAACAGAAGTTATGGATTGTGAGTTATGTTGATTTTAAGTGATTATTTCTAAAAGTTGAGGGTGTTTGCAAACATATTAAACATAAAAATGTTGGCATGGGTGCTTGACAAATTATATGTTAATGTTGTTTATTTTATGATCATCAAAAGCAAAAGTTTGTTTTGCAAATACCTAAGAATAGATTATGTGCATGCAAAAAAGTTCATAATCTACTTCTAAAAACTTTTGCAAACACCACCTTAAGATATTATAACGAGTAAATATAGCTTAAAAGTTCATTGTTCACACTTTAAAATTTAATTTTGATAATAAAACATAACAATTTATCAACTCTTAAATAACTTATCAGATGTAGTAGCTTATCAACTGCTTGAAATAGGTTTAGTCAAACGGAATCTTAATTCAACTTTTTTTTTTCTTTTTAACATTTTTCAATATTACTATATTAGACAATAAAATGAGGGAGTTTAGTTGTTAGTTTGGGACCGCAATATAAGAAATTAAAAATAATAGCCAATAGGGACCACGATCGCCTAACTATGAGAAATTAATTTGTCGGTTGGAGTATGTAAATATTGTGATACACTCGCCAAGTTGCAATAGTTTTTTCAGCTTAAAAGTTGAACTTGACATTTATTCATTAGTTTGTACTTGTTTTGTGTAAAAATACAGATTTTGATACACTACAATCTGATATATACAAGCCAAAAAACACATATTATGATTATCTTGCTTCGAAATGTGGAGTTTGAATGGGATAAAGCGAGACAAAAGTGATAATATCCCATATAATTTCGACGATTCCACTAAATTTGAAACCGCAAGAATGAACGTGTAAGAAAATTTATAATCAATGGGTGATTGTAATTACCCAAACATGAGGGGATTTTCGTAATTTAACCATACATCATGGGTGATTGTCATTTACCCTATTATTTATGTATGCATCAAATTTTGCAGGACATTGAGATAACTTGTGCCTTATTACTTAACATATTGCCTCACACCTATAAATAAGTGACTCTACTCACATAATCATGTATGTACTATTTTGGCCAATTAATTAAGTTATTTTCTTATATTGTGATAGTTTTCTAATTTGAGCTTCGGGGGACAATCGTCGGGCCATCTCTAGAGTGCCACCTGATTTTTTCAACTGTTTTGTCGAGTGAACGAGCGTATCTCTATCCTTGCGGGTTCAAATACTCTTAGGTCGCCCAATCGATATTTGAACATGAATGAGTTGATCCATCTATTCGACTACTTCAAACACGTCGTAGGAATCTTTGGCAATCTCTACTTTTATGGGCTCAAATACTCTTTGGTCGCCCAATCAATGAGTGGAGTCATCCCCCGTACTACCTCGAACACGTGGCAGTAACTATCGGCATTCTCTACTTTGTTGAGCTCAAAGACTTTTGGGTTGCCCAATCGACATTTGAGCAGCATCATTTTGGCACCGTCTATGGGACATACTTGATCGAGTATCACGGAAGACGGTGGTCATGGGGGCACGACCCGGCACCTCAAGTTTCCTTTGGATTTTCAAATCCGTCTCGAAGGGCAGTAATGATGACGGGGGCCCACCACCTCGAGGCACCTTCGGTATCCTGAACTTTGCACAGACTTAAACGATTAGAAGTTGCTTACAATCATCTATTGTATAGTTTCGCGTATAGCCGTTATCATCGCTTTTGTGCGTCTAGAGATTTATCTAAGTGAACCCCGAATGACATGTTTTTGCCATCAGATTAACTAGGGACTTCGAACTAGTCTTATAACGGGCCTCGTGTTAGGCATCTGAATCCCTTCGAAAGTCCAGCCCGAATACTTAGATCGGGCCCACTATGCCAGATCCACCAATCACTTACATTTCTCACAGTGAATATATATAAAGATAAAATAACATTTTAAATTAAATATAGCATGAGGAATTAGTGCAAAACTAAAACGTGGAGAAATTATCTAAGTATTTCGACAAAAGTAGATTCCAATTTAGAGAACAATATTACATATAATATTCTCTCTCTCTCTCTCTCTCTCTTAAAAAATGAATTATGTATGCTAGTTACATTGGTTCTCTTAATTTAATTGCTAATTAATAAAATAACATTTCTCACAATGAATCTTGACCCCTACTGGGAGTTATGTTGGTAGCTATGTTGCACGGACACGGATACGTGGATACGGCGATACGCGGATACGGGCACGGTGATACGGCATTTCCAAAAAATTAGGATACGGACACGCGGGGGATACGCGTAAATATAAAAAATATAGGGGTATATTTATAAATAATAAAAATATAGGGGTACATTTATAAATTGTAAAAAATATGTATAAGTCGTCATCGCATAAGAGAACCGCTCGTCCTTGTTGCTCGTGTTCTTGGTCGCCATCACATGCTAGACTTTTGAGTTTTGGGTGAACTCAGAAAGAAAACAGAGGAAATGTGTATTACATAGAAAAAAAAATGCGCATTTTTTTTTATTAGGGCTATCTCTTAAAACGTAAGAGAAGTGTCCCAACTTTTTTAAAATTGTGGACACTGCCGGATACGGGTGTCCTACATTTAGCGAAATTACGACACGGCCCGACACGGGTGTCCAAGAAGTGTCCGAGTGTGTCCGAGTATCCAGGTGTCGGATACGAGACTCTTCACCTTCTAGAAGTGTCCGTGCAACATAGGTTGGTAGGCATAAAAAAAAATTGATTAAATAAAATAGATGATTAATTGTTTTTATTATTAAAATTATATCATGATTCTTCCTTTCTTGTCTTGTTTAGCCATTTGAATCTTATACCATCTTTAATTATGTATTTCGTGCATTACATGCATCTACACAATAATATTGACCATGGCAAAATAATATTACATGCATCTACACAAATTTCAATTATTTAAATTATGACTAATCTTACCAGTCAAGCGAGCATCGGATGACAAATATTTGTTAAAAAACCACCGCGTATTTATTTTCTGTTTGACCGAAATGACCAGATACAAATGAATTTAAAATGAATCCAAAAGTTAAGAGGATTTGAAATAACTTTCAAATGCGATTTTTTTTATTTTTTTTTATTTTTGAAAATCCACTACAAATGTTATAAATATAAATTAAAAAATTAAAATAAGAACTATGTATGAAAAAAATATTGTCCAATAATTTGAAATTGCTCTATATCTTATCTAAGTGCACTCTTAAAGATTTATTTGCTATAAATGAGCCAACCAACCGAATATGAAGGCTATATAGCAAATATAATAGTGTCCAGTTACAATGTATCTATTTCTAAACATAATTAAGCGAAAAGGAAAATAAAATAATATTAATATAATACCCCCCCCCCCCCTGAAATAATTACGAGTATATACTTAGTAATATTACGTGGGGCCCAGTGAGCGCACGATTAGCGATTGCGGGGCGCTGCCTACGCGGGAAGTGTTACGTAATCAATGACGTCATTATCAATTGATTAGTGAATGGGGTTTTGATTCTGTGCGCTCGGGAGTTTGTAATTTTCCTACAACTGTGCGCCAGATTTACAATATCAAAAGTTTTATTGGATTATTTAATTGTACTTTTTTAAAATATAGGTGGGGAGTGGGTACAATTAATATAATAAATAAATTTGAAATGTAAAATCTAAAGTGCTATTAGTTATTTTTTATTTAATTCCATTTAATTAATCTTTGCTTTGACGAAACTGATTATTAAACATATAAGAACTACGTTAATAATTAAACAATACGGTGAAAGAATTGAATCAACACTAGGGACGAAAATAAGATGGAATAGATCGAAAATTGATTTTCGGATAATTTCTATAAAAAAAAAAATTCGGAAGTAAAAATAGATTACAATTTTCGTTCCAAAAAAATCGGAATACAAAAATTCATTCCGGTTTAGAAATGTCTCGAAATCGGCGGAATTTCGGAAATTTCATTAGTTTATAATCTCTTGTTCACAATTCGGATGTAATGGAAATTTCACAATATTTTTCAGTGTTTTCTTAAATTTTGCCGGAACGTGCAAGAAAATTCAAAAGAAAGTTTGACAAAACGAAATAAATAAAAAGTAAAAATACATGAAAGAACAACAAATTGAAACATAAGTTATAATATGAAATTATAAAATATATCATAAAATTATTTATATTTTGAAAAATCATAGAAAAATTCGGAATTAAAATCGGATCGAAAAACTAAATTTCCAGTAATATTATATACCGTTCCAGTTCCGTTCCAAATGATTTCGGAAGAATCGGAATGGAAAATATGATTCCAAATTCAGATATTTTTGAATCAGAATCGGCGGAATTTGAAAATTTCATTCCGATTCCTACCCCTAATCAACACAATTATTACATTGAAAAGCTACACGTCATTTCTAATTTCCTATTCAAATTATTGCAATAATAAATTATACATTAGAAAGAAAAAAAAAACATATTTTAAGACTCTCATTATCAAAAAGTCATTTTTTAAAGTTGACCACCGAGGCGAGGACGCACAGGAAGAAACGTGAGCCCGCACGCGGAGGATCGACAACGCGCCCTCATTCTAACGTGCACCGCTTTCTTAACATGCGCACCGAGTTCCACTATGAATTGAATTCTCTCACTCATTTTGTTGATCTCTCATTTTCTCCACCAGTCCTTTTTTATTTTTGTCTCTCCCCCAATATCTCTGATTTTTTCCTGCAACATACATAAACCCTAGCTCTAACAGCGGCGGCGCATTCTATGCTGACTTTTTATGTTCCCTTAATTTAACGAGGTTGTTCGATTTTTAATCTCGGGAAAAGGTATAATTCAGTAATTTCTGTTGTACAAGTGATTGGTTTCAATTTTGTCCACACCTTTTTCGATTTGTTTTTCTATTTTGTTTCATAAATCTTCGTGAATTAAGGTGTTGTACCGTTTGGGTTTTTACTACTGCAAAAATTTATTTGTATGGATTTCATCCATTTTCTCTCTTTCTATGGTCAAAACGTGAAATCTGGTGTTTTTTTGTTGAATTTTTCAGCGTGTTGTTTTATTTTATCTTTTTATAAATCACGGGTAAAATACCTTTCTCCATGTTTTTGGGTTAAAAAAATCTCTAATCATTATTGTTGAGTATTTATAATAATTCTTTCAGATTTTAGGATTTTGTGGGTTGGGGTTGTTGAATTTTGTTTTTTCTTTAAAAAAAAAAGATCCAATCTTGTTCAACTGGGAGTGCGAGATTCAGTAGGTGCTTGTTTTTATTTATTTATTATTATTTTTTTAATATCTTTGTGATAAATGAGTGATCTTTAAGAATTGAGTTTATTGTATGTGTATGCACAAGTATAATATGCACCTTCTTGTCTAGTAGCTTTGAATTTCTTCTCGTCTGGAATCGCTATATGTCTGTATATGTTTACTTCGATTCAGTCTTTCAACTTCTTTTATGAACTTATGACCCCACCAATATCTTGCTGTTACATCACCAACATTGTATGTCTACTTGCGTGATTATACGATAGTATATCTTACTTCCCTGTTAGGTCGACTGTTTCTGATTGTTCGATGGGTTTAACTTCCTGTGAATTTGGAAAAACTTATTTGTGGTGTCAGTATATATGCATATGATGGGAATATTTATTTTTTAACATGTAAGATGCAAGATTCATTTGCTGTAGTCTCTGATGTATGCAGTATGCTTCCTACTTTGATTCTGTCGAGTATCTTAACTAAATTATAATAAGTGCGCCCTTTTGTTGTGGTGTGTTAGAGTGTGCAGGGATATGGGCACGTTTGTTTACCTGGAGTTTAGTTGCTTTATAAAACTCGTAATTTAATTTATCTGTGTTTTCATCTGATAATGGGACTCTGATTATTTAATTCTTAATGATCTCAGTTTATTTCTCGAATATCCGAGCTGATAATGTATTTAATTTCTTAAAAAATCAGGATGACAGGTGCAAGTTTCGTTGTGCGACACATGTAAATGCTTCCAACGGTTACATTTTCCAGCTTGTGACTTGCTCAAATTGCCTTCTTAGCTCTTAGAATGGACCGCAGGGATACATCAGGGTTTGTCAGTGGTGGTTGCTTCATCTTAGGGAGCTTACAGATCTTTAGTTATTAGAATTTTCTTTTTTCCTAGGTTTCTTCTTTTCTCCACCTTAGATCTCAGAAGTCCCACAATTCATTCTTTCCATTTATTTTTACTATACTTAGTTTTGTTAGTTCTAGTTGTGAATATCAGTGCATGGATGGTATCCCTGTCTATACTACTAATGTGGCTTCCCAGTCAAAAAATCTCGGCAATTTTGTCGACCCCACAGCCGCTCTAGCTTTTGGTTCACCTGGTGAGTCAAGCTTGTGCTTTTCCAAGCAAAGCAAGAGAAAATGTAGTGCTGTTGATCTGCCCATTACTTTGAAAGATGGGTCTTCTCTGGTTCTTGGTCTTGGATGTTCGTCAACCTCGTTCACTACAATTTGCTCAGGTGATGAAATGGAACATGAGTCTTCTATAGATCTTGGTCTAAGTATCAACCCGTTATCCAATGTGAAGAAGGTTTCTCCTGGGATAAGGAGGCCTATTTTAGACCTTCAGTTAACACTATCCACAGGACCCACCGAATCTGATGTAACCACAATTTCCCATGGTTTCGTTCCTTGCCACAATAGTTCCGAGTCACCAGCTTTAGCCCCTTGTGTTGAAATAGTGGATGAAGGGTCCACATCATCTCGGTGGATAACAGGCCCTCAAGTGCCCAATGTTGAGATTCCTATCCAAGTTGGACCAAAATATGTCTTTAGCAACTCTACTCCAGTTAATCAACAACAACAACGCAAAACCAGCGTAAAAATATGCAGTTTCGAAGGATGCACAAGAGGTGCAAGAGGTGCTTCCGGCCGCTGCATCGCCCATGGAGGCGGGAGGAGATGCCAGAGGGCTGGCTGCGACAAGGGCGCCGAGGGCAAAACCGTCTTTTGTAAGGCGCACGGAGGTGGGAAAAGGTGCCAGCATCTCGGATGCACTAAAAGTGCCGAAGGCCGCACCGAGTACTGCATAAGCCACGGCGGCGGCAGGCGGTGCAATTACGATGGCTGTCCTCGTGCATCGAGGGGCAAGTCCGGCCTGTGCATTCGCCATGGTGGCGGCAAGAGGTGCAAGATCGCGGAATGCACCAAGAGTGCAGAGGGCATATCCGGCCTGTGTATATCTCACGGAGGCGGCAGGAGATGCCAGTACCCCGAGTGCACAAAAGGGGCTCAAGGAAGCACCATGTTCTGTAAAGCCCATGGCGGTGGAAGGAGGTGCACGTTTTTAGGGTGTATGAAAGGTGCTGAAGGGAGCACTCCGTTTTGTAAAGGCCACGGTGGTGGGAAAAGATGTACGTCAGAAGGGTGCACGAAAAGTGTGCATGGGGGAACGAACTTTTGCGTGAGTCACGGTGGTGGAAAGAGATGTGCTGTCGCTGAATGTACGAAGAGTGCAAGGGGTAGAACGGACTTTTGCGTCCGTCACGGTGGTGGGAAAAGATGCAAGTTCGAAGGAGGGTGCACGAAGAGTGCGCAGGGGAGTACGGATTTCTGCAAGGCGCACGGTGGAGGAAAAAGATGCTCTTGGGGGCAATTGGGGTTGGAGTTTGGCGGTGTGTGTGTTAAGGTTTCGTGTGATAAGTTTGCTAGAGGGAAATCTGGGCTTTGTGTGGCACATAGTGCACAGGCGCAGGAGAACAGTGGCCTTTCTTCTTCTTACCCTGGAATGAGTACATCTCAGGAGCCGGAATCGAGTATGTCTACTTATACAAGAGGGGTTGTTGTGTCTGGAAATAGTCTTTCTCACCCTGGAATGATGGATTGTGGGGCGACGTCAGTTGGTCCTATTGGTTATGCAAATGGGTTTAGGCCTCTGCCGATTTTGCCCCATGGGAATATTGTTAGTGGAAGTTCTTGCTTGGATCCAATGTCCCTTCCGGAAGGTAGGGTTCATGGAGGCGGTTTGATGGCGATGCTTAAGGGGGCTTCGGGATTTGGAACGAGCAATGCTAATCAAGAACCGAATGGGCAGTTGGAGCCGGGAAAATCTTGTGACTTGCCTCATAGCTGGGTGTAAGCAATTGTTACTTGTTTCATTATATTTTATGTTCTTCTCTCTTTTAGTAATAGTTATGTGCTGGTTTGAGTTATAGTGTGTATTTCACCTAGTATTGGAGTCTGATTTTAAAGTTAGGGTATGTACTAGTGTCATTTTCAGTTTGGTTGGTTGGGTGCTTGCTTCTCTTTTCTTGTAAATAGTTTATTTATCTATTTATTATGAACCAAATTGTTGTTGATAATAATATGTTTTTCACCTATATTTTAACGTTAACAGAGTTCTTGCACATGTTCTCTGTGTTGTTTTGATGTATGGGATAATTTGATAATTTCAATGCAAACAAAAAAGCAGGCATATGTCGAAGCTAATTACGACTGCTCGATTACGTTACAATTTGTGAAACACTTGCAAATCATCGGTAACTTGCATTCAGATGAATTAAAATCTAACTTCACGACAGAATTCGAGCCTTTCTGGAAAAAAAGTTTCCACCACTCTCCAGTGCTTTCATTCAAATTATAGCAAGTTTACTACAAATCAACGAGAAAAAGTTACATTTAAACCAAGGACAAAAATCACATGAAAACGGTTCCAAAAAAAACCCGAAAGGAAAGGACATGCTGAATAGTAAATCATGCAAGTTACTCCACGTAGATTAATCGACACAAATCAACGACTAAGGCAGTAGCAACCAACAATTGGCAACCGTTGTAAGGTTGAGGGGGGGCCTTGGATCTTGAAAACTCTTCTATATTTTCCTGACCTGAATATTATGAGTGGATTGGAACCGCCAAATAGGTTGTCTTCCGCTTTGGACAAGAGCAACCTGTTCGCCTTCTTTCACCATTCCTTGCTTCTGTAAATTGGTCACACGTTTTACTATCGAGACGGAATATCGTAATTTCTATTTATTTCAGGATGATTTTTTCATTATATTCTTCATTTTTCATCATTTTTTTTGTTTCTAAGTTTGTTACTGAATGTAGTTGATAACATAATCTCACCTGTAACAAACCACATGCATTGGCGAATGTCTCATCAGCATCAGCTGAGAACTCCATGTAAATGGGGCAAATCCCCTGGTACAATGCTAATCTCTGCTGTACCCTCTTCCTGTTACACAATTACAATACAGCAAAAAAAAAAAAAATTAAATTCGATAGAATGTAAACCGTAAACTTGTAAAAAGACTCTCAACATGAAATACCTCTACAATAATTTCCTATACTACGTCTGAAATATTATGTATCACTAAGTGCTTAGGAGTATCCAATGATTTGATTTGAAAATCGAGAATTCCAACATCAAAATGCTTTATAGTAGAGGATATAGCTTAGAGCCTTATTCCTCATTCTCATACACAAAATTTTACAATGGAACGGCAATACGGCAGTTGAGTTAAGTTCAATATAGATTAATTTACACTGACTTACTCATTTGTGAAAGCAAAAATTGTTCCAGATGGTCGGTAATGGCTCAGTAGAATGGCCATGAATCCGGTTCTAGTGAACACAACAATTGAAGTTCCAAGTGTGTTAGACATCATTGTTGCATGGAATGCAAACATTTCGCTCATGTGGTTCTGTATGAAACAAAAAAAAAAATCAATTAAATGATGTGAAACAAGGTTTTCATGTATGCAAATTTTGAAGAAAAGGACTACCCTAACCTTGAAGGCCTGGCCCAAATTTGAAGGAGTTTCTGCACCAACTATAGTAGCTTCAGTTCGCAAAGCGACTGTGTGCATGACCTTGACAGCTTTTAGAGGAAACCTAATATGGAAGCGAAATTAATTCAACCAGTATTGCACGAAAACAGTATGTTAAAAGAATACAGTCCTAATTTAAAAACCAAGGAAACATTTCTACTTACTTCCCATGGGCAGTTTCTCCTGAAAGCATAACAGCATCTGAACCTTCTCTAACAGCAATAGCAATATCCGATACCTCTGCTCGTGTGGGAGTGGGATGCACAATCATGCTTTCAAGCATATTTGTAGCCACTATCACTGCTTTTCCCATACTTCGACATATCCTGATAATTTCTTCCTAAATTTGTAATAAATTGTTTTTGTAAATATTATGATATGGGCTTTGACAATGTTACTAGTATGTACAAATCCAGAAGCGGCATCATGAGTTACCTGCAATAGAGGAACTTCTTCAACTGGTAATTCTGCACCAAGATCCCCTCTTGCAACCATTGCCTGAAATGAAAAAGCAATAAAACTATTACCTTGCAGTGTTAGAGAAAATATTTCGGTTTCCAACAAATCCCGATAATTTGATCACAGAAACAACTTTATTCCACTGTAGAAAAGGTTTTATCCTCCTTACCCCGTCAGATGCAGTTATGATCGAATGCAAATTTGGTATGGAATCTGCGCTTTCAATTTTCACAATGACATGAATGTCTGCACCAGCATCTGCAGAAAATAAATTGAACTATTACGTCAGAATACAATTTGACTCTTTTAAGTTACATTGTTACTATAAAAGCCCGAATCTTGAAATTAACCTTTCAGGTAGTTCTTTAGTTCGTGGACCACAGCAGCATCCTTGACAAAAGAAACAGCATAAAAGTCAACTTCGTTATCCACTCCAAATTTGATGTCGTCCCAGTCCTTTTCTGTTGCATGTTAGCGTCAAAAAGATCAGTTCCCGGATGAACAAAAAAGGTAATATATGATAACTAACAGTTGAAGCAAATTGATATAAACATGTATGAGTTGCATATACAACATTGTATCATTGCTCATCTGACCAGTAATGGATGGAAGTGTGGCGCTTTTGCCTCGAACATTAAGATGCCTCCGAGATTTAAGCTCTCCTCCATCAACAACTTCACATTTCACTGAATCTTCAGTTTTCGACTTTACGAGAAATGACATCATACCACCTGCACCATCAATCAATCAACAACAGCGAAAGTAAGAACACTACAACGTAATTAAAATGTCGGGAGAAGAGGTCAAAAAAGGAGGAATGCAGAAAGGCATGTTACACATGCAGATACATAAATAAACAAGCAAACATGAACAGTTAATTGACATATGACGAAGTAAAAGGTTTTAATTTATAAATGTACATGTATCCCATGCTAGGTCTAATGAAAGAATTTGACCCACATAATGATTTAAGTGAAAAGAAAAGCCAGGGGTACTATCATCAACATGCCATCTGTCCAGCTGGTGAACATATAACCATCCATAGATAGTCTGATTTATCATTGATAACAAAAAAATAGAAAAAATAAAAAAGATTCCTACCATCAACAAGAAGCATGTCTCCATCTTCGACATCATTAACAAAATCATCATAGTTAACACTAACACAGTTTGCTGTTCCAACTCCTCTTCGAATTGTAAAAGTAAATTCCTGACCAGGTTCCAATATAATTGGTTGAGGTAAATCGCCACTCCTAACCTCAGGACCCTGCGAAGCAGAATTCCCACGGTATTGAGAACAAACATATATTATATATAAAATGAACAGTAGAGACACACATAATGCTCTCAGAAGCATAATATCAAACATCAAGCAAGCAAAGATCTGAAAGCAAAGAAGTAATGCCTTGGTGTCTAGCATGATGGCAATAACATTGTCTTTCGCTTGGGCATTATATTCCTTAACCAAATCAATGACTTTCTGATGTGACGCATGGTCTCCATGGGACATATTCATACGTGCAACGTTCATTCCAGCCTCTGCCAGCTTCCATATCATCTCCCTTGTGTTGGTCGATGGGCCGATTGTGCAAACGATCTTTGTCTTGCGTCTCACTGTAGGCTTAGACCACACACCCACAGATGCGTCGCCAAGTTGCGTTACCCCCTGCAAATACTGAGTTTGATCTCCAGCCTGGTTAAAGTGAAAGAAAGGGAATGATATTTGTTAGAATAGTTCACTGAAATCCTTTCACTGGAAGCAAGTTTGTTTCGTGATTAAAGGTTCACAACACCTCAATAGCGTGATGATGTGTCATCCTTAACACATTATATTTTTTTCAAATACAACATTTTTAAGAACTCCAACTGTGAAGTCCAATTCATCGCTGTCAAAATAGCATAACAGAGATTTAACTACTTAATCCTGTTTGAAGTGTAACATTAACAACGATCTCTTCTTTCTCCTTAGAATCTCTTGTACCAAAATCAGTATTTAAAATCTATATTGAAACCCTACCAAATAAATAATTTACATTTCTCCAGAAAAAAAAAAAGCAGCTGCCGACAGTAGACGAGCTAAATTAAGCTACGGACATAGGTTTTGTTGCTGAAATCCAGACTATAAATGTTATAATTTCATCAATACACTCTCAGCACGCTTCAGAAAAAGTACTATCTAAACAACATTAATGGAGCAAAACACAAGCATTGACCGGAAAAAAAAAAGGAAGAAGAAGAAAGAAAAAAAATCTACCTTGGGCACGTCTTCAGGAGACACCGGAAGCACTTCAGGCTCGACACGCGCAGATCTCCTAGCCGTGATCGGAGCGGTGACATGCACAGCTCCGAGGCGGCGGCTCCTCTTCTCAACTCGAGCCAAAACCTTAGCCGCGAAGCCATGACTAGGCATCAGCTTCTCGGAACGGCTCTGCAGAGATCCAGAGCCAGGATTCGACGCAAATGAGCATTGAATCAGCCGCGTCGCCGCCACTTGTGCCATCGCCGAGGATTAAACAACCTTGAGACGAATAGAGAGAGAAAGTGCGTGTGTGTGTGTGAGAGAGAGAGAGAGTCTGAGAGAGAAAAGCTGCGAGTATAAATTAAGAGAGAGATTGGAGAAATCGCCGAGAAATTTGGATGTTGTGTACTGGTTTTCTCTCTCTCTCGTTTGTATCGAAGAAATGGAGGCTAGCTTTTTTAGCTAAACTCTCCGTTTAATTCAAAACGGTTGGGGTTTACGGGGACAAATTCGGGTTTTCACTTCTTTTGGGGAGTGCTAAGCGGCGTCGTTTCGTTTGTTTAGGTTGAGTGGCTGTGTTTGGCTACGGTGGAGAGCACTGTTGTTACTGTGGTCGTCAATTTTAACTAATACTAGTAGAGAAGGAATTATACACTGCGACGCGGGTCTCGGGCCAATTTATTTGGGTTCGGGCCTGCGCAAAAACTATGGCAGCCATTCTTTAGACTGGTACCAGATTCAATTGGTGCTTGTTTATTTAAGAAAAATAAGCACTACAGAGCTAAAAAATCACGTTAATCTAATCGATGAAACCCATTAGAACTCCGACCAAATTTCCCCACCATGTTTTAACTGCCGCTCAAAACTTCGAGGCTTCAATCACTCAGATACTAGACAAGAGCCCAGATATCAAGACCCTTAAGAAACTCCATTCCAGGATTATTACTGATCGAAATTTGTACTCGAACACGTCCCTTGCTATCAAGTTAATGCGGGCTTATGCTGCGCGGGGCAAACCAAATGTCACCCGCAAGGTGTTCGACGAAATTCCCGAAAGAAATAATGTTATTTGCAATGTCATGATCAGAAGTTATGTGAATAACCATTTCCACAAAGATGCAATTTTGATGTACAAGAGCATGCTAGCCTCTGGCGTCGCACCGGATCATTACACGTTGCCTTGTATTCTGAAAGCCTGCTCAGCCTCGGAGGATTTGAGGTTTGGGCTGCAAATACATTGTCCTGCAGTGAAGAAGGGTCTCGATTTGAACCTGTTTACTGGTAATAGTCTCGTGTCAATGTACGGGAAATGTGGGAAATTGGTGGATGCAAGAAAGGTTTTTGATGAAATGCCGTATAAGGACATCGTCTCTTGGAATTCGTTGGTGGCGGTTTATTCCCAGAATGGATGCTTCGATGAAGCACTTGAGGCGTGTAAAGAAATGGACTCGTTAGGTGTGAAACCCGATCCAGGCACAATGGCTAGTCTCTCCCCTGCTGTGACTAACACGAGTGCAGAAAATGTCGCGTTCGTGAAGAAAATCTTCTTGGATATGGCTAAAGAGGAATTAGTGGCATGGAATGTAATGATAGCCATGTACTCGAATAACTCCATGTCTAGTGAAGCAGTTGGCCTTTATTCACAAATGGAATCCCGGGGTATAAAACCGGATGCAATTACTATAGCTAGTGTTCTTCCATCTTGCGGTGATCTTTCTGCTGTATCACTAGGCAAGCGTATTCACGAATACATTGAGATGAAGGGGCTAAAGCCTAATTTGTCATTAGAGAATGCGTTAATTGACATGTACGCCAAATGTGGATGTTTGAAAGAAGCGAGGGAAGTATTTGACGATATGCAAATCAAGGATGTCATTTCGTGGACTTCGATGATGTCAGCCTATGGTCGGTGTGGGAAAGGCGAGCAAGCCATTGAATTATTCTCCAAAATGCTAGAGTTAGGTCTGGTCCCAGATTCAATAGCTTTTGTTTCGATTCTTTCGGCTTGCAGCCATGCAGGGTTATTACCAGAAGGATGGAATTATTACAAATTGATGACCGAAGAGTATAAAATAGCTCCCAGATTAGAACATTCTGCTTGCATGGTGGATCTATTTGGGCGGGCGGGTAGAGTGGATGAGGCCTATGCTCATATTAAGCAGATGCCATTAGAGCCGAATGATAGGGTGTGGGGAGCTCTACTGAGCGCTTGCCATGTCTATAATAACATGGATATTGGCGTTTTAGCCGCCGATCGTCTTTTCCAATTGGCACCTGAAAAATCGGGTTATTATGTTTTATTATCGAATATTTATGCAAAGGCTGGGAGATGGAAAGATGTAACATTGATTCGCTCGATCATGAAAGAGCGAGGAATCAAGAAAATTCCTGGCATTAGCAATGTTGAGCTTCGTGGTCAAGTCCACACGTTTCTTGCTGGTGATAGATCACACCCACAGTGTGAGGAGATTTATCGAGAGTTGGATGTGTTAATAGGGAAAATGAAAGAAATTGGTTATGTTCCGAAAACTGATACTGCACTACATGATGTGGAGGATGAAGAGAAGGAGAATCATCTTGTGGTACACAGTGAAAAGTTGGCTATTGTGTTTGCCACTATCAATAGTGGGCCAGGGGTGCCGATTAGGGTTACTAAAAATCTCCGTGTGTGTGAGGATTGCCACATTGCTATCAAGTTCATTTCTAAGATAACCGAGCGTGAAATTATAGTGAGGGATACAAATCGATATCACCATTTTGAAAATGGGATTTGCTCGTGTGGTGATTATTGGTGATTTATATAAGAAAAATGATGTCAATGGGTCCCACCTGCAGTTCTCCGAATATATAGCACAATATGCTGCTTGATGATTTGCTTCGAAAAAACCTGGACTCCAGGTGAGAGCAAACTTTTTCCCTTTTCTCTTTCCTTTTTTTGGTTTATGTTTCCTCGTGTGAATTTCTCTTGCTATCTGGGTGAAAATTTCTAGCTACGTAGTTCCTGATTTTGGTTTGCTCTAATTTCAAAACTAGTCGAGAAAATTATTTTAGAGGTATTTCGAGTTTTTTGGGTCTTTTGACAAGTTTGTTTTTTATATTTTATTGATTTTTTTGCTATATTGCAATTGTGTAACAGGAAGAGAGTACAGCAGAGATTGGCATTGTACCAGGGGGCTCATTTACGAGGAGTTCGCCAATATCTGTGGTTTCTTACAGGTGAGATTTTGATCTATGCTTTAGGCCTTTAGCTTAAATGTTATCGAGTACTTCGTTCTAGTTAAACAAATCAACCACACAAATTACAAACGAAAAATATGTAATTTACTTTATGAATAAATACAGAGTCCCCTTTTTTCGCGTGAAATTTTTTTTTGGGCTAAAATTCGAGGCCAATTCTAGCAATATATATAGCTATGAAATCTTTAGTATTAACATTCACATTTTCAAAAAAATAATAATAATAATTAACTAATCCTCCCACTGACCAAAACCTCATTTTCCTCAAGTTCACAAGTACTCCTAAAACTCTAAGACATTTTACACTGTAATCAAATCACGATTCTTGATTCTTTGCTCGGCCCGTCTTTTGCAGCAGAAGCCTCAATATCTTTCCCGCCATCCGAACTCGAGTACTTAAGGAACTGCGGCGCAGTGTTGGCATCTGAGCTGCCAGATCTCTTATGATACCATCTTCGTGTCGTTATACGTTTCCTCTGATCAGTTATAGCAATCGATATATCGTTGGGAAACAAATCTCCTAGCACAAATGCGTGGATTATAGTAGTCACAAGCAATGCTCCCACAGTGAGTGTAGATATGATACAGAGGATCAAGGCCAAACTCTTGGTCACATCGTTTGTTACCTCGTCGGAGTACCTTATGGTCGCAATGGCAGCTCCAGTCATCGGAAAAGTGTAGGCCCACCACGCCAACGAGAAGTTGAAGCCTCGGAAGAAATTTACACGTGTGGCCTGTAAACAAGAGAGTAATGAAGAGTTAGTTACTGTTCTTTTTTCCTAATTGATAATCTGTTTGGTTCGTGGATTTTGAAAAAACAAAGAATTTGAAAATCTCTAGTATGTTTGTTCCTACAGAAAAATGATAATAAAAATGATTTTGTGGAAAATTATTTCATTTTGTAGAGAAACGTTTGTTGAGGACTAACCAGTGAGAAATAAAGGAACATGGCGATGAAGTAAGCTACGCGGGACCCGTAATCAAACGACCCCTGAATGCGGGCCCACGCCATGGATGCGACGCTCGGCGCGGCCACAAAGAGGAAGAAAACCGGATGGAGCTCCTTAGGCAATGTCTCATTCGTCGGAAGTCTCTGATAAAGAGTGACGAACAATACGGTGTAGTGAGCCATTCCAACGGCAAAGAAAAAAATCGGCCCTTCTTTGAGCCCCATCGAAGCACCAAGCAAAGCGCCGACAAAATTACCGACGACCGAGAGATGGTTCGACGGGTTCGCCACCTTGGAGAGCCTCCTCTGCCCACCCGACATCCACTGGCCATAGATCTTGAGCTCCAAGACGAAAATCGGGGTCATAAGAATGTACCACATTGATACATGGAAGGTTCTAGAAACTTCTGGTGGGGCCCCGAGGGCGAGGAAGAGGAGGGCAATCCATGGGGCGAAGAAGAAGTTGACTCTTATCGGGTGGTAGTACTCGCGGCGAACGGCTTCGAAGTAGAAGATGAGTTTTAGGGCGTAGACGATAGCAACGACCACCGTAAGAGCTATGGATGCGAACCAGAGGATCGAACTTATAGTCGGGTCCACATGGAGGAACTTCACCGATTTGACAGTAGCTAGGGTTTTCCACATAATTGCTTGACTGCTGACACCGAGGCAGATACCGAACGAGGAGATGGGGAAACGTAAGAGAAACGGCCATCGCTTGTCGTCCGGAAGTAGTATTTCTTCCGAGGCCTATTGACAAATATACATATATTATTGCTTATTATCAACTGATCAGTAGAGAGCCACACAATAATATATATATATATATATATATATATATATATATATATATATAGGTGTGAGGTGTCACTAATTGAATAAAAGAATTCAATGTTAGGTTGTAAATTTTTTTGTCTCGACGTTAGTTTTTTGACAGGTTTGACAAATTTTCATTAGACAACTAATAGCCAGGATAATTATAAATAAATAAATAATAATAAAAGAAAAAAATATAATCTAATCATAAGTTGGAAGCTGATTTAAGCACCAAGAAATTTAATCTATCCACTAACTAAGTACACGTGTAGATAGGTGTGTGTGTTATTATGTGTAGATTTATGGTGTAAAATTATCCGACATATTTCACTGAGCGTAATATTTAAAAAACCTGATTTACCGACATACCATACCAAGTAGTGGCAAAAAACTGTTCAAATAATGAAGTCAGAATTGAGATGGATAGTTTATTATGGATGGGCCAACTCAGCCCCCCATATTTTATTTTATTTTATTTTGCTGTCATAAAATGGACAACATCAAATTTGATTTTTATTTATTTATTTTCAGGTCAAACAAATGATTGAGTACTATGAGTTTCAGCTAATTGTCTAATTGACTCTAATATTATGAATTTATGATACAAGTGTCACAACTTCCCAATGACACATGGAGATGACCAAAATTATATTCCCTGATGTTCTTTAGATTCTATACAATTTCAATAAATAAATAAATAAAATTGATTTAGGTACAACTACAATCATTAACAAAAACATTTTAATTAAATAAATAAAATACAAATTCTATTAAAAAAAATTAAGAGAATTTTGATGAGTACCTTATTTCAAAATTTTGGGAAGGATGGCGGCATCTTCCCACCGTTCATTTCTGGTGGGACCCCTTTATTATATGGGCATTATCACTAATGCAAATTTGCTAATTGCTTCTGTCAAAAAAAATTTTTTGCTAATTGCTATATATATATATACATGGAGAGAGAGAGCGAGAAACTAAAACACAATGCATTGACAAAAGATTATTTTATTAATCCTAGATTATGCATGAATTAAGGATTAATTACAGCAACAACAATATAATTTCAAGAGATGTAAATAAAAAGCAAGATATTTATTCCCATTAATCCCCAGCTGGGATTAGGCTGTTAACTTGTTTTCCACATCCAAGAAACTGCAAAACAAAGAAACCTATTTTTAAATTATAACGCGTCTGTTGGTTGCTGAAAGAAAACGAGGAGTACGACGCCGTTTATCTCAGTTATTTAGCTAGAGTAGTTAGACGTCGTTCTGTAAGAACCCTAATATCGTTATGAATCATAGAATCGCAATTCCTTTTCTTTCGATTATTTTGAGTGGTTATTATTCCATAAATTCATCGATCGCTACGAATATGAATAATATGATCATTTCGAGTTACATTTTAGCATACTATAGTAATTGTAATTTGAAGTGCTAACTGGATTTTGGTCTAATACATCAAATTAAACCCCTTTTAAAGATAATAATCCACCTTAAAAGCTTCTACTAATTAAAAGCCCACTCAAAAGTCCATGAACAATGTAGGGCTTAAATAGTAATTAGATTGAACACTCACTCGAAATTAAAGTCCACATTATTTTTTTTTTTCAAATTGCACATCAAAAACCTTTTGGGAATTTTTATTTTCAATCTTACTATTTGGAGACCACAAAAATAAATTCTCAAAACAATTGTTAAATTTATAAGGGCAAATTACGGCCGCCACTCTGAGGTGAGATTAAATTACGAAAAAACTCATCTTACTTAACTATATATTGTCTTACGAAAAACCTTCTCCTTCAATAGGTAAATTTGACACCGTAAGACTGTATGTGTAGACAATACATAGTTGAGGAGGCGATTGTAATTATGCAAATATAAAGGGTATTTTCGTAATTTGATTGGATAATTGTGGCTTTCAAGTGGGCTTCCTAAAAGTCTTTAGTTAAGAGTTTGATTTGATGTGAATGTGATATCTGCTTTTTTGACTACTGTTTGTTTCCCCTAAACCAACTTGCCCCATTTATTTTCTATCATTCATTTAAATTTTAAAAGATACATTTGTCTTTTCTGCTCCACATATATATATATATATATATATATATATATATATATATATATATATATATATATATATATATTTATATATTTTAATTAATAGTGATCCATGCATTTATCCATCAAAACTTATTTTAACTCACTACTAATAAAAAAAATTACATAATTAATGATTAATTCTAATTTATAATAAAATAATTTGTGTCGGTGAGGAGTGGTGCAAAAACTGCAGTACAGAGTTGAGGAATTCCCTGCTAGGCCAAAAGTATTCAAATTAAATTGGGTCACTAGCACATGGGGCTGCCCATCTATATAATATATAAAAGTTGAATTGCATAGCTAATTGATTGACATTTGGCAATTTCAATTGATGACATGTCTTCAATTTCATCCCAAGTGGCGAATTGGTTGGTCGAAATAAATCATCAAAAAACATGTCATCATTTTCCAAAATTAAAGATAGTTAAATATGTTTAATTATTTTATTAATATATTTATATCCTACCATATATAAAATGCTCTAAATATATCAACTTTTTTGAAAACCCTAAATAAATTTATTTTTGAATTTAATTTTATAAATAATTTAATTTTAATTTAGTTAAATTCGATTTAAAATCTTCTTTTATTATAATTGGATGATTGGTGGTGTTACGAATTTTTTTAATTTTAATTCATAAACTTGGATTTATATTAAAACAAATATTGTAGAATAAATTATTTGATATTATACATTTTACATGAACATGACTAGAGAATATGTATTTTTTTTTACTAATTTACTATTATATATTAATATTATCTATAAAAAAAGATAGATATGTGTTTGAATTTACTATCTTGCGAAAATTGACACCATTTGTTATGCCATGTGTAGAGTAATATACTCCCACTTATTTATCATATTGAAAATTATACTACATGAATTTCATGTTATTATTTAAATAATTATTTTTTTCTTCACTGAAGAATCCAGTGACAATAAATTTTACGATTGATTTAACTTTTTAAATTATATACTAATTAAAATACGAATTTTATCATGATTATACTAATAAATTGAATGACCTAAGCTAAGTTTAATCAATTGATAAAAAAATGAATTGATTTTATATATTTCAAAATATAATAATTCTAAATCTTTGGTATTAAATTCATTTTTATTTAATGGCTAACATTAATAATATCAATTGTTTTGTTTCAAATGTATAATGATCGTATATACTATATATTGTATTCCACTAATAAGGATTTCATTATGACTCTAATAAATATAATTATGGAAATATCTAGATCAACACTAACCCAAAAGTATCAAAATGAGTTTGCAAATATTTATGTGCTATTTAATATTTTATTTTGATATTTATATAAATGTATTTGCTCCAACCATAGGTATTAAATCGTTGTTAATTAAATATATCTAATTGCCACATGTTATTTTCTAAATGGACACTGAGGTGGTTGAATTCATAACTCATGTTTGATATTTTATTCACCATGATTGCATAATGTATTTTTACATTTGAAAGATGAAATATCAAAATACCTCATTTCATAAATCTAATGGAATTAAAAATTACTATTTTGGAGAATAAAAATGGTGGTTAAATGTTTTGATAGCTCATTTAATAATCTCACTCGAAGTGCTCTTGCCGTATATAGTTTATATTAATAATTCCCCTAATGTTTGTTTCTCTCTTACATCAACCCCCTTATGGTATGATTTTTCAAGGAATTTTTTTATTACCTGGAATATTCCAATAATGCTTATTATCCCTTGCACACACGACATTTCTTTATGGTACTTTTTAAAGACAAAACTTACCCTCAGGTGAACTTTACACTAAATCTTTATTCTTCTTAAATAACACTTTCACAAATTTTTATTATTACCATGACCACCCATGAGGGTAATTTTTAAGTTTAAAAAGTATGATAAAAGAAATGTCCCATCTGCAAGGGTAGACTCCATATTTTTTGGGATATTATATAGAATAAAAAAGATTCCGTACAAAAATCACACCATAAGGGGGTTGTGTAAGACATAGACAAACATAAGGGGAATTTTAGTAATCACCGATAAGTGGGGGTGTTTTCTGTAATTTAGTCTAAGTTCAGGAGGATTTTCATAATTTATCTTATTAACAATGATTATTGTTCTTTTACGTCTTAATGTTTGCTTATACCCTTATAATATTTTATATAATTTTAATGTCAATTTGATAATATAATTAAATATTAATTTCTAATATATTTAATATGTGTTTTTTTATGGTTCAACTACCACACATAAGAAATTTGATATAAATGTTCGAGATTGAATAGAATTATTTTTTTTTATACTAAATAATAGATCATTGCAAAAACAATTGTTGCAAAATTAGAATTTTTGATTATAATTATAATTATAATTATAATTATAATTATAATTATAATTCTTTGAATTAGTATTAGTATTAATACTAGAAATAGGATTCAAATTGTAATTATGATTAATATAATATTAGGATTAGAATTATAATTAAGATTATGATTATGCTTAGTACGATAATTAGTGACATGTATTAGTATTAGGATTATGATTAGCATTAAGTTTGGGATTATAATTATAATTAAGATTAGAATTAGAATTAACACTAGCATTAGCATTAACATTAGTATTATTAGTATTAAAATTATTAGGCTTATGATTAGTGTTAGGAATAGGATTATGATTAGGATTAGGATTAGAACTATGATCAGTGTTATGAATAGAATTAGGAATACGATAAGGATTTGGATAATATTAGAATTACATTCATAATTAGCATTAGCATAATAATTAGCATATCTAGATTACATTAGCATCAAAATTACTATTAGCATTAACATTAACAATATTAACATATTAGTATTAGTAATAGTATTAATAATAGTATTAGTTGTAATATTAGTATTAGTAATAGTATTAGTATTGGTATTAGTATTAGTATTAGTATTAGTATTAGTATTAGTATTAGTATTAGTATTAGTATTAGTATTAGTATTAGTATTAGTATTAGTATTAGTACAAATATTAGTAGTAACATAAGTATCTGTATCAATATTATTATTGGTATCAGTATAAGTATCAGTATCAGTATCAGTACCACAATATCTATCAGTACCAGTATCAGTATCATTATTAGTATCGGTATCAGTATCAGTATCAATATCAATATCAGTATCAGTATCAGTATCAGTATCTGTATCAGTATCGGTATCGGTATCGGTATCGGTATCGATATCAGTATCAATATATGTATATGTATCATTAGCATTAGATCATTAGCAATAAAATTAGTTTTAGCATTTATATTAGTATTAGTAATAGTAATATTCAGTCCTAAAGTCCTCGCACTGAGC